TAAGTTATCAGATAAATGTAAGTATCAAGTAGCTTTAATATTTGCCTCTGAAGGTAAAAGCTGAAGGTAAAAGTAAAACACAAGTAGGTTTAAACTGTATAGTAAGTGTAATTTATCCTATGGGAAATATTTGGCAACTTAAAAGGAGAATGTGATGAGTAATGCCCACAGTGGAACAATACAAAGAAAAGAAAATCTCCCACAATATAAAATCTTTACAGATTTTGTTCTGTACTGCTGAAATAATGGATTTATTTTAGTCAGTGTTCACTAAATGTACTACTACTGGAGTATGTTGGGTCAAGTTTTCCCTCATTTTTGCTCGATTAAATTGGAAACCTCACCACCAGGCACAAACATATTTTTGGTTATAATACATGCACACAATTGGTGGCGGCAAAATGACACAGATGCATTTTAATATTACAATTATTTCGCCTTTTATTTGAAATGGAAATTCCCAGCACTTCCGGGATCAGTCGTTTAACCGTGGGTTTAACAATAGACGGATTTAAAGTGGATTACAGCAGCAGGAGAGACTGTGTGTCTGAGGGCTGACACTGTCATCCGTCCCCGTGCACCGAGCTCTGATTTCCAACCAAATCACCGTCTGAGTGATGCTCTGAAAGTAGTTGATCCTCTCGTTCTGTGCGCAGTGATTAGGACAATGGCGCTGCGTAATGCGCCTGGTGCGTCCACGCTGTGGGCGACACAGTGATGGCTCCAGCTTCTGTGCGGTCATTTCAACCATCTCCTTAATTGTTCTGGCGAGAACAAGTAATCTGGATTAGACTTTTTTTTTAACGCAGTCCGTGATGATGTTTGCAAGGCACCACTGAATTTAGAAAGTAGATTTTAATTATTTCATGTTTGTGTCAAATGGCGATTAATATATTGTAATTTTCTTCATTTCAATCCCCTCCCCTCTGTGTGTGTGTGTGTTAATATATATCAAACACACACAAACACACACACACACACACACACACATATATATATATAAGTATTATATTTATACAATTAGTAGTGATCTATATAGGTTTATACAAGAAATTTGCTGTGGTATGTCTGTGCCAGTATAAATAAGATACAAATTATAAAACATGACAAACAAAATCACTATAATAGTGTTTGCATCATAATCAAACCGAATTGAATTAGATTTAGATCTATTTTAATGTCATACTTTAATTTCCTACACGCTTGTTGTGCTGCTTTAATAGCTAAGTGGGCGCGGTCGAATGGGTCATGTGACGTGACACGGAAGTCGTCTCCATTAGGCACGTCCCGGTGTTGCTCCGTGGTTCGGGTCAGACGTGTAGGTGACAGTTTCTCAGACTTTACCGCCAACGTGAAGCCAGAACCGGGTGCACGTACCAGAAGCTCCCCTGTCCCTCGGTCCTCTGTGATTCTCGTCCTGCTGTGTTTCCATGCTTCTGCTGCCGATGATGGCCGGCGACGGGACACACGCTCACTGAGGTAAGACAAGTTAGCGAGCTAGTTAGCAAGCTCAGCTAGCTTCCATGTCTTCAGCTTCACATCTTGTGTTTTTGCCTCATCGAACCAAACTTGAATTTAGCCACACGGGGATTCTTGGTATGCATATCCACCTTAATGCTGTAGGTGTGTATTCGGCGTACAGGTTCAGCACATCAGTCTGAAAGCTGCACTATAACTAGTAAGAGTTGTTGTTGGGCCCTGTCATGTTTTCTTTGAGTCTTCCACGATGTGTTTCTGACAGTTATGAGCTGAACAAACACTTAAACACAACATCTGATATAAAAAGTTATTAGCAAACGTGAAACAATGAACAACAAACGTGATATCAGGTGAAATAAGTCTGTATGTAGTGGACAAACTGACTACTGCGAGTGTTCTGACAGGAACTTCATGAAAACCAATGAACAACACACACAACAAGTTTACTGACATTCCTTTGAATGTATGAATGAGAGGCCCTGAGGGAGCTGCAGTAACTGCCGCCAAAGGTATCGCTGCTAAATGATGACTTTGAGAGGTGAATAATTCATTAGTAAGACAGTATTTTCCTATTTTTGCTGTGGAGAGTAGTTAACTTAAAACCTCAAGTCCTGATTTGTGAGATTTGTTTGAGATATTTGAGTCTATCACGGTTTTCATGATCTGTTTCACATGCAGTGTTGAGTGTGACATAGATTAAAATGCCTGCCACGCATGCTTCGTTTTTTGATTTCACTCTTCTACCTGACTTTGACATCTATGTTTGTCTGGTGTTTCAGCTCCACCTGTTCCCCTCCCTGGCAGATTTCTGAAGTTTAAGTGTCATGCCAGTCCCAGTGATGGACCAGCCTGTGGTCGATCACCAGAAAAGGTTTCAAGCTGCTGTGGATGTTATCCATAACCTGCCCAAAAACGGTAGGTAACATTTTACAGCCGCGTCATGATCGCATGTGTGACTCAGCACTTAATTTAATAATACGGTCCTGTTTCCAGAACAAAAGCCTCAGAGCATTGGACCTGTCAGTGCAGCTGTGATTCATGCTGACTTCTCTGAGTGCACAGAGAACAAACTTCATTAAAATGTATTGCATCCAAGGCGTAAGCGTAATCTAAGGGCTTATTAACAATGCATTGTGAGTGTGGGGCTGTTCAGTGCATGTAAACTATCCAGTGTGCAGAAGGATCACTCTGCTGGGTTTAACATAATACTGACAGTCAGCCATCACAGGCCATCACCCCACCACTATTTTTCTCTTGTTAATTGATAGTGGATGGCATGGTTCTCTTAGCAATTCAATCCTAAAATGAATTGTGTATATATTTTGGCAGCTACTAAATCATTTGGACAACAACATATGGGAAAAGCTGATAATTGACTTCTCTGTTACAGGCTCCTACCAGCCCTCTTACGAGGTGATGCTGCGTTTCTACAGTCTGTATAAGCAGGCTGTGTGTGGACCCTGTAAAGCATCGCGCCCCGGCTTCTGGGACCCAGTGGGCCGCTACAAATGGTGTGTATAATTGTGCACTTGTATATCACTCTGTAATTAGATCTGGGTTACTTTGTGTTAGCAGACGTACTAGCTCTCAGTTGGTCTGATAAGTGGACTTCTTCTGACACGTACAGACAAACTGGAGTCTGAAGCGTTTTTAATGTGTTACTAATTGTTTATTAGTGCACTGAATTAACTGCACATTTCTTCCTGGCTGTTGTAATTTTCGTCCCCTTTATTCACCTGTTTTGTGTAATATAATCTGAAGTGCACTCATTTGTCAGCTTCGTATTAAAACTATGAGATTAGGGCTACATTGACAAAGAGAAACATCCAGCTGATTTTCCTTAACAAGCTAATGGGAAATTATTATTGAATTTACTATTACATTACCAAAGGCACTGTGATTTTATATTTTGTTTAATATTCCCAGTAAAGTTGTGTAGTGGCAGACATGTGTTTTACTTATTGTACTGGTGTATGTGTTAGGGATGCATGGAGCCACCTGGGGGAGATGAGCAGTGAAAGTGCCATGGCTGCATATGTGGACGAGATGAAGAAAGTAGCTCAGGAGGTATGGAACAGATTTATTTATTCCAATCATATATTTCAGTTCAGTATTGAAAATGGTATTTAAGACAACATCTGCATTTCCATCTGCAGGAGAGGTGTAGATTTATTTTAAACCCAAAAGTGAATGAAGAAATAAATAAAGGATAATTACACTTTTGCACATGTATCTTACATTTGGCTACCAGGCAATGTTTAGATTATTTCCCCAATTTGTTACGGTTGATGCCTCTTGCTTTATTTTGTGTGTGATCAGATCAGTTCTCAGTAACATTGTGAACATGAAGTAGGACTTTAAATAAAACAAGATCTCCACTGGTCTGCAGGTCATCGACACCATGCCCATGAATGAGAAGACGGCCTCACTCTTCCACCACTTTGAGCATCTCTACCTGGTCATTGATGATATGCCGCGGCCTCCAGGGTCCCTGCTCACACTTAGAGAAGGTCAGTGGGTCTGCAGCACTGATGTCTGACGCTTTCTAATGTTCATCTTCTGGTCCAATAGTTTCAGAAACCAGCCCCACCTTAAAGTCAGCTATTCGGAATCAGATAATCTGACATCCACACACTTCACAGTATCATTGGCCCATTGTGCATACTGCATTTCTTTCAGGGTAGATTGTCTTTGGAAAGCTTGTAATCGAAACCTTTACAGTCAAACAGCTGTTACACAGTGTCAGAGCGGTATCTGTCCCCACGGCAGTTTCCATTTTCTCTCAGCTCTACAGGAAATGTATGGAGCTGTGGTGACTTGCTGATGATTTCCACTGTGAATATACATAGAAGAGTGTTTGTCTTTTACCACAGGTCTTAAAGGACGTGAGCATGCTGACAGTCCAGAAGAGATGAAGAGTGAGGATGAGGAGCAGGAGGGGCCTAAAGAAGATTCTTTTCCTCCAGAGGATCCAGATCGGGAGTTCAGCCTGGCTGAGGTTATAGACCTCACAGCCAACACCATCCCTAATGGTATGTAAAGAGTGTCGCCCCTTAAAGTGCTTTGAGTGGTCATCAAGACTAGAAAAGTGTAAATACAGACCATTTAGCCCCACACCTCCCTTATACTCTATGAGCCGTCTAATTTTAAAATGCAGTTATCCTGTGAAAACAACAGACAAACTTTTCCAGGTGGTTTTTGTGGAGATCACAGCCAACATTTTTTACAAGGTGAGACAGAGAGCCGGCTGATCAAATCAGATTCAATGATGGTGACCTCTGACCTCAAGTGTTCAGTCATTTGTATAAATGCATTTGTCCTCGTTACAAATGACAGAATTTTCCACTGCTGCTTTGAACTGCACTGCTTCTCCAGGAGACACCTCTGAAGAGTTCGGCCAAAAGTTTGGGAATTATTTGGGGTTTGAGTGGAGTTGGTCATGTTGGCTGGTGTAATTCTATATATAATATATATATAATCTTTCATTTGGGAAAACAAACGTGTGTCAGGGACAGAGTAACACAAGCTTAGTGCAGCTACATTAACTGCATTAGGCTCGGGTTGGGTTTGGACTCAAAAAAGAATTAGGCACGGTTAGTTTTGTCTGTCTTGCTTGGATTCTGAGAGAGAAATGTGGCCCAAGCTGAACTCCAATTCATATGGCTTAGAAGGAATAGAATAAGAAAACTAAAGAAGAAAACCACGTAATGCAAAAGTATTGCAAGATAATGCAAAAGTAATCCCTCAAAAAATTCCAGCCAGCGGGCCTCTGTGTGGGAAACTGTTGCTCAGTGTGTTTGATCCTGGACAGTTCCACAGCTTTACACCATGATAATAAACCGTAGTTATAATAATTCAAATTTCACACAGTAATACAACTGTCGGGACTTTTACTATGGTTTATAAAACATGTTTAATCCCTAGTTTCCTAGAATCTGAAGAATAGACATGAAATCTGCTTTTTTCTCACTTCTGTCAAATCCATGTGTTGTGCTGCTGCAGACTCTGGCGTGTGCGAGGGTTTGGTGTTGACCAGTGATTCTGAGAGTGAGATCTTCTGTGACTCCGTGGATTCAGTGGAGCAACTCAGTAACATCAAGGTATGACTCTCTCACATCGTCAAAAAGCTGGAAGTATAGCTTGTGATGCCGCCAGCAAACAGTACAAACCACGTTAGGATTTCCAGCACCAGTGACTAAATGTAAAGATGGATGGCGGTGAGTTGAAGTGAAGCCAAATCATCTTGATTGCCCCCTGCTGGCTGGCTGGCTGGCTGCAGTAAAGGGCATAAACCCTGCTTCCTCCCTGCAAGTGGATGTGACATGGATAAAACTAAAAAGTCCAAGAACATATTTATGACATTTTTCATAAAGATGGTTTCTGTCATTTTAGGGTGTTCTTATCACACTGATGCTTGTTCAAGTGTTCATGTTTCTGATACGTTTGAATTAGTAATTGGCTCTGACTGGTTGTGATTGTGTATCGACAGAACCTCCACTCCATCACCAGCACAAAGACAAAATTACATCAAAAACATAAGATGGCAGCACATGTATCCATAATATACCATCATTGTCCAACACAGTGAAATAACTATTCCAATGAGCTGGAAAATGAAATCAAAAGCCACAATTGAAAAGTGTGAATAGAGAATTTCAGAAGGTGCAAATAAGACATTTTTTCAAAGGTTGAAATGAATATATATATTTTTTTTCTTCTTGGTCTTCACAGGTTCCTGTAGGTAAATTCAACGGTTTCCAGAATGGCCACGTGTCATTGGAGACATCCGGCCGTCTTGAGGTCCGACAGGTCGGAGCAGGTCAAGGTGGAGAGGGAGGTAGCGATGGGAAGGGTCAGGGTCCCGTCAGCAGGAGGCGAGACAGTGGGCGGGAAGGTTCCCACCACAACTGGAGAGAACGTAAGCTGTTATCACCCGCGCTTTGCTTCACACTTTTCTCACACTTAATAATGCTTGACCTGTGTTGTTGTCCGTAGGTGGTGTCCCTCAGGGAAGTCCAAGGTGGGGGGGCCCGGGTGGCGGCGGCGGAGGGGCCGGACGAGGAGGAGGGGATGGTTCCGAGGGCGGGGCAGAGAGGATCCATGACACCCAGCTACAGCAGCAGATCATTGTGGCACTGCGGAGGCTCAGAGAGGACATGAGGAGTGTGATGGACCGGCTGGAGGTTGTGGAAAGGCTCGCTGCCACACACGTAAGCTTGTGATCATTCTGTTCTGACACAGACATAATAAAAACACCTCACATACAGTATATACTTTCATTTTAGACAAGGAATCTGATGGATCAGGTTGCGGTACTCACACTAGTTAGTAGGAGACATTCACTGTTGGTTTGCCTCTGTACGTGGGATGTGTGGACAAAAAAGAAAAGTCTAGAACATCCCCAGACTTACTCTTGAAGCCGCCTTCAACTCCCTGAGATCATTGCTGCTTTCTGTGTGATAGGCTCAGGGCTCAGAGTGGAGACAATGTCTGCAGTGTGCTACCACAGCATCACATGAGCAGGTAAGAGAGAGTCTTATAGTTCCAAATGTGTGTGTTCAGGAAATGTTGTTGTTCATGAATGTAGACAACTGAAGTCTTCTAACTAACCTCTGAATGTGGGCATGATCGTTCATTCTGGACCTTGGGAACAGTATTTTTTCAGCTTTTCTTCAGTTTGTCGTTGACGCTGTGAGATGTTAGTTAGTTCTGGAAGCTCTGGAAATTTGTTAGTTAGGAAGTGAAACTTTGAGTCAGGATTATTTGTCAAGGTTGTCTGATGAGCAATCAAAAGGTCTATTAACGTCGCAAACGTTTTTTTAACCTGGAACACTTTTACACTCATCTGCGTTAGTGCATGTCGTAGTTACAGCTGCACTAAACATGTCTTATAGTTTAGTATAATTTAAATATAGTGTACTTACAGAGTATTGTCACAAACTGTGCATATTGATAAGATCTGTGAACTTTGTTGTGCAAAGAGCAGACACTCCGGTTACCAGAGGTATCACTCGAGGTGACTGTATCAGTCCCTCTCAAAGAAGTGCTTTTGTACAGTCACTGTTCTCTGTGACAGCATCTAAAGAATGCATTCTGTTGCCAATGCAGATAAGAGGAGTAAATACTTGTCGTTCTTTTACTGGTCAGCCGAAGAAATGGCTTATTGATGATCAGATATGTGCACGTTAGACTACTGACTGCCTGTCTGCAGTTTGTCTTTGTTGGTTTTTACTTTGTCTCATGTGTTGTGTTGTAACTTTGTTATGTATTGTAGAATTTATTTAAATTTTAGTTTGCCATTTTAAAAACTGGCCAGGGACAACTGAAAATTAGCGTGTTGAGCTAACTCTGGCTCATTTACAGTCATTTTGCTGTTGATTAATGAGCATTGTTCTGGTCAAATAAACAAATCAATGAAATGAGAGGATATTCCTTCACCAGCACTGCTTTAATTTGCTTTAGTTTGTGTCATCATTGTGTGATCTCAGCAAACGCTCTCACATATCGTATTTAGTGAAAGCCAGTTGTCGGGTGTGTGATTACTACATTGTTGAAACTCCTGGTTGTCTTCTCTGGGATGAATGATGAACTGATTGATTTTTCTCTCAGGAGGAGTGGTGGTGGCCATTCGACGTGTCGGGCCAGACGGTCCTGCTCTTCCTGGTGTGGCCCTTTGTGGCTCAGGGCGTGGTGTACCTGCTGAGGAAAGCCCAGAAGAGAAGACGCATATGTTCGTGAAATGACACTCAACCATTCGGCCACAGCGATCCATCGGTGCAAGGAGTTTCCTTTCTACAGCAGAAAGGATTAATACCAGTATGTATTCACAAGAGGGGTTCCTCCTCTTCCACCTCCGCCCTGAACACCATGAGGAGGGAGAGAACTTTGTGGACTTGGTGTCTGCTGGGAAATGTATCTGCTTCTTTGTTCACCTCAGGATCCAGAAATCCTCTCACTCACTGCGGAAAATGATTCTTTATTTAAAATATTCAAGTGGCTTAATGAGCTGGCCTGGGGTGGGCAGCAGGAATCAGATAGTCAACACGATATTGTGTTATTCAACCTGGAGATGTGCTTATACTGATCATGACAAGCCTGAATTAAAGACTTGGGTTATATTATTGTTATATTATGTTAGTGAGACCTAATGTGCAGTCACCATATTCCTCTTCTTTTGGTTTTGCTTCCGTGACCTCAACATCTATGGAAAACATCAGAACAATTGCAGCGAGGAGAGGACTCTTGTGTTCTCATTGTACATGTTGGGAGCTCAGGTTGTGGGTCGGTGTCTCTTAAATTTAATTTGTGTGTTTCCGTTGCTCTGGTGCTGCATCTCTTTGACACTTTCACTTTTTACACATTTCATAATGTTGAACACTAATTCTACAATTTAAAAAAAACAAGGCAACAACATGACAAAATGTGAAAAAGATGAAGGTGTGTGAAACTTTCTGAATGCCCCGTTAACGTTCAATTGTTTAATCGCAGTGTACCTTCACTGTCTCATTGTGTAGATCCATCATCACTGTACAAAATCACATTTTCTCTTGTCATGTTGAACTGCTGTAACTCCAGTTTTAAGCAATTACTAAGTACACTGACTGAGATCCATCCATCAGCCACACCAGCTGAAATTGGGTGAGAGGCGGTACACCTTGGTCAGGACGCCAGATTGATCGAGATAACAACTGTTATTGAAGACAAGCTCAAATTAAAGATCTATATTTACTATAAGGCTGTACTGTATTCAGTTCAATTTCAATTTTATTTGTATAGCGCCAAATCATAATATACATTATCTCAAGGCACTTTACATTGAAACTTAAAATCTTATTAATATAGAGAAACTCAACAGTTCCCACAATGAGCAGCACTTTGGAGACTGTGGAGGAAAAACTCCCTCATTAACAGAGAGAAACCTCTAGAACCAGACTCAATGTGGGCGTCAAAGAAAACGGGGGGAGAAGAGAGATGTACGGAAAAGAGAGGAGAGAGAGATAGTGAGGAGGAGGAGGGAGAGAGAGAGGAGAGAGAGACACCGGGAACACTTGAGCACCATCAGGTATCAGATCTGACTAGTTAAAATGTAAAAAATAACAGTGTAAAGACATTATTGATTATTATTGATAACAGTCCCAATTCATATAAAAATTAATTACTGAAGTGTTGTAGTTAATAATTATATAATAATAATAATAATAGTAATAATGGTAAAAGTTGTCCTGAAGTTCCGTGGTCAGAGATATCTGAAATGAGAGAGAGAGAGAGACTATGGGAGGACAAAGTGACATAGTTATTGACATGTATTAAAATAAATAGGTGGGCGGGGGGGGGGCAGCAATTGTGGTATTTTAACATGACAGTTTTTACTTCCACAGCAGTAATCCTAATCTGTCACATGATTGTTATTTAGTGTCTGATCGATAGAAAGCTGCTGAGATGGTTGTATACTTCCAGCAGGGTCTTCACCTCTGCAGGACACTGAAGCTCAGTGACAGAGACGGTTGGGTTCTTGATCGTCTCACTGACAGGGCACTTGTTGTCCCCCTACTCAGCTTGTCTAGATTGTCAACTCTAGGAAAAGTCTTGCTGCTTCCAAACCTGATTCAAAGTTATCATGGCCACTGTTCACCTGGGAACACTCCAACAAGTCTACAGCAAGTGTTCTGTTTTTATCCCGACTGTATACAAATAAAAACAGGCAAACCCATTTCCAAAACAAATAATTTAATATATTAAGTATAATATTTATATACACAGGTTAAGTTAACAAGGCTTTGTACAACTGTTACAAAATTGGTCCACGCACAGTCACCCACGTACATAAAGTACACGTCTGTTTTTACAGAAATTCTGGGAAAAAGAGTAGAACACTGAAAATGTGAAAAGGAAAAATGCAAAAATATCACCCAGGTAAGACTCTGTGGTTTGGGATTTAAAGAGGTTATTGGTTCACGATCATCTGCTCCCATGACAATGCTATCTTTATAACACTGATAGAATGTATCAACTGGAGTAACACTGCTCTCGCCTCAATACGTCTCCGTACTGCTCACACTKTACAATTACCCAAATAGAAACAACAAGGATTTTGGCAAAACTTGACATAGCTGCCTCAAACACTTAGTTCCTGTCAGTGTCCAGACGTCAAGTGTCCTCAAAAGTCTGACATCGCTCTCTGAACACACACACACACACACACAGAGGGAAGAACAACAGGCTTGTGTTGAACACTTAGGCTTTGCATATCTTTATATGTCAATAACCCCATGCATGCATTGTTTTAGTCCATGGAAGCTTTGACGTAATGCCCACATCACATCATCCAGAGAGGGAGTTTGCTTTTTACTCCCACTGTTTGCTGTAGATCCACATAAGGACTTGGAAAGAGCTCGTAAAAGGCAGAGAAGTCAACTTAAAACTGCATCAGTGCACTGTGATACTTGCCCAACAAAGACATCATTAGTGAAAACTAGTGGGAGGGTGGGGGGCACCAACATATGTACAGCGCAGTTGAAAATGAAAAACATGGCTGATGACTGCTCTGTAGTTTGCTGGTGAAGGTTTAGCTGGAACAGAAGCTGGGCTCTGAAGTGGGATTGGTTTGTCTCAGCTTTTACACCGTCTTTATTATATTTGTTCATTCAGTTGACATTTGAAGGGTTTGATTCCCTAAACTTTAGAAATATAAGTTAAAGTATGTTTCGGAGGTACAGGTCCCTTACTTTGACACCATAAAGCATTGACTGCACCAACTCTGACCAGGATTTATTTATTTATCCAAACAATTTAAAACAGTGTAAGGGATAATAGAGTTGATGATATAATTATCATTTCAGTTCAATCACCTCCTGACCTAAGTTGGAAAAAAAAAGGGTGGATTCTCAATCAAATAAGAAAAATACAAACCTCATCGTCCATACCTTGTTTTGGTGCTTTTCTTTCTTTGATTATCCTAAACCAAGTTTTATTTGGAGTAGTTATGTGGGAGTCTGATCTTCATAGATTGGATAAAACATTTCACCGAAGGCGAATGTCTTGGTTATAAACTGTTATCTTGTGAGCGCTACACTAAACAGTCAAATAACAAGGGATTTAGCTCAGACAAATATTGTGACTGATTAATGCTGCCAGCTTGGTTAGCCTGTTAGCTATAAGCTCTCCACCAGCTCCAAAATGAAACTTAAAAGCTGCTCTCAGTGTCAAAGAATTCCTATGCCATGGGATTCCATCTCCGACTTTACTGACAATAAAAATCCAAGAGGGAAGCGTTTTGAGACAACTGAGTGACATGATGGACGGCTTTAGTAACAGTGACACAGGTGATCCAGTGTTGGTGAGTACAGGGGAAATACTTGGTAAAGCATTAATAGGTGTAACAGTCAGGTTAAACTACCACTGTGTGCCGACGCCGCGCTCTCATCTTGTCCCGTGGGTCCAGTGCCGATCTCCTCAGGACTACAGAGGAAGATCCTGGGGAGTTTTGATCTATCCATCCAGATGAAGAAGAGGAGAGAGGGGGAGCCCTGTGGGCCAGACGAGGGACGGTATCTATCTGCGGCATTAACCTGGGGCCAACTGATCCCTGTGGAACCCCGACATATCCATGCTGACCCGGTGCGCCGTCAATGACTCTGATCACCTCCACCCTCTCCGCTCTCCATCCTCTGACTCTGTCATCATTCCTGCCCAGCTCAAGTTCCAGATTCATGGACAAAGCCCTCGTCCTCCCTCCTCTGGTCTTCCTGTAGCAGACTGCTGGTGGCTGCTTCCAGTCTGGCTGCTGAAAGCTGGAGGCATGGTAGAGGCTGGGAGGCCTGGTGGGGGAGATCCAGAAAGGGACAGTTGGACGTCCTGCTGCCAGATTGTCAGGTCTAAAGTGGGAAGGGGGATTAATCATAGATGAGGGTCTTGGGTGTCTGGCATGGATTTGGTGTTGTGAGTGGAGATACTTGTTACGAAGCTGCAGTTGAGTTCGTGGCAAGGTCATTCTCTGCCTGCTCTCACCTTCGGAATTTTTTGTGCCTGTTTCCCCTCCCACTACCTTTCCAGCCCCTTCTGCATCTTTTTCTGCTGCGTTTTCTCCATTTTTCACCCCTTTTTCCTTTTCGTCCCATTTTTCTTTTTTGGAAATATGGTCTCCCTTGACTGCCTCTTCTTCCCCTCTCTCCTCCTCTTCTCCTCCTTCTCCTCCCCGACAGTTACTGGCTTTGACTGGCTCATGCTCGGAGTCCTCATCGGCGCTGCTGCCGGGCAAGTAGGTACTGAGGCATTTTTTACGTTTTCGGGCAACTGCAGTGATGATGGACTTGGGCATTAAGTCCCTGGCGTTCAGGTCTTTCTTGGAGTTCGAAGATTGCTGAAAGGTAGAAATCTCAGTCATTTAATGATAAACCTATCCATCATGTTGCAGAAGCCATGATCTCCATCCTAGATTTAAAATACAAGTAAGTCATGCTTACCTTTAACTTAAGTGAATCACTGGTAGTGGAATCTATTAGAAAAGAATAAGATGTAAATTAGGAGTCATCATTGAACACATGGTAGCATTAGTGTTAGGAGCTGGTACAAAGTTGTGATGTCTGGCTGATCACAAAACACATACCAGTACCACAACCTTTCAGGAGAACTCTAGCCATTGTCTGAGGATTCATTCTAAAATTAAACTGCAACTGTTGGCACTGCTTATACTTTAAGTAGCAACAATGGCTAGAATTTGCCATCACACCATCAAGGCAGGGGGTTATGGCACACTGGGGTGGGGGGGCACCAAAACTGGTGAAAAGAAAATGAGTGGTCAAATGCACGTGCAAACAGCAAGCACAAAACACAAGGAGAAGACCTGTTCCTACCGAAGAGGCTGATCCATTGTCTCAGCTAGAGGAAACGAGTGCACAAAGGTCCAGAAAAAAAGAGAAATTGAGACAAAGTGGGAAACATCATGAGTATCCACAGGCAGAAACGTACCAGCTGGAGAAACAGTACAGACATCTACTGGGAAAGAAAGACACTGAGCTGAGTTTGACCTGAGAAGGCCACTGATCTGTCGCCTTAAAGTAGAGGGTAGGTTAGATTTATATGTTATTAGTGTTATGGTTTTTAATTAGCATTAGTCATACTCATGCCAAGCCCCTTTCCCTGATGTATCCTGGGTTCCTTTGAGATAAATGAAAGGTAACACTTCCATTTAAATCACACTGAAGCTACATCTGACCTACACAAGCACAAAGAAGATATCCAATTAGTCCCAGATAGGAAGGTTTAGGCGTTCATGTCTCAGTGTTAAGTTTCTCTCTTTGTCTTATATATTGCAAAATTATAACAGACTTAGTTATGCTTGTGTAGGTCAGATGTAGCTAGAATTGTAGATAGGTACCCTGTAACTTTTCATATAGGAACAATCTACACTTCTCTCCAGTATTATTTAAATTCAGTTTTGAAGAACATCCTGTGGTCAGTTTTATATCAAACATCATTGTGTTATAGTTTTTATGTACAAAAGAGATGTTAAAAGGCCCTGCTGTCAAAGACCTTTGATTGAGCTCAATCATGTTCACTATCAGAAACTACTTGGGTTGTCATTTTGAATTAAAAGTTGAAAATGTGCCAACTCTCTGTGAGCAAGTCAAAGTAAGTAAGACATCACTAAGTCTGCAATCCCCCATGTTTGGACCCCCTGTCTTTGTGATATCTGCACAGCTCTGAGTGAGGCTAACGGGAGACAGTATGTTCCCTACAACCCACACTCCACTTTGAGGAGCTCCCTCGCTGGGAGGCCACCAGAGACAGTATTTGGAAAGAGGATATAAGCCACCATCACCAGCTGTCACAAATACTTAGCAGAACAACGGAAAGCGCAAACTACTGAGGCAGCCCGCAGACAGATGTGTCAAAATCTATGTTTGGACCTTTACTATTTTAGTATACGCAATGATTCCATGGGCCATTTTGCTAAATGTCTTCTTAATCTAGTTGCCACAAACTATTAACAAATTAATTATAGAGCTGACATATATGCAGAGTGAAGAGTTATTGCCAATTGCAGTTAATGCATTAATATTGACTTGCACAAGGTAACAGATAAGATCATGGACTCAGGTGGGTGGAGGTGATTATACTGTACAGCTCTTTGCATGCATGTCAAGTTGACACTGAGAAAATCAGCCTTTACTGCGGCCACCAGCCACCTCAGTGTCAAGGGCTTAGAGGTCAGGCTGAGAAGAAAATGGCATCACTTGTTTGACAATTGATTACAGCGCCACCATCAGGCCGACTGGGATCATATTTCTTAGGAAGGACATGGACGTTGGGCCAAATTTCATGTTTCTAGCTCATTCCAGGTGACATTTGCAGACTCAACCACCGCGTTAAGAATAGAAAAGGTTTTTCTCTGTCAGTTAAACAGACCGAAGAAAATGATCCCCTCGTAGTGAACATGTATCTCTTTGAGAATGTTACAGATCAGATGAAGAATTTAATGTTAGATTATGACTCATCCTCACCAGATGCCTCTCCTGGCATGCCCGGCCTGCCGATGTTGGACAGCAGATGGTCAATGTTGGGCACAGGCTGCATGTCCCCCTTATCCTCTGGGGCCTATGAATGCACACATGAACACACACACACACACACAGAAATACTGAGATTTAAAGCACGGATGTGGGATGAGGATACATAACTATAGAAACCACAACAACATACCTTCTCTTCCTTATCGAACTCTCCATCACTGAAGAACCAGTCACACTGTTGAAGCAACAACACACAGTATCACTACACACTGTTTCCACACAACACAAATGGTTCAGATCTTGCAGGTAAGAGATGCCTCTTCTTACGTGCAGGATTAGCGTCTCCACTATTTTGTAGCGATCAGGCATGTGAGTGACCATGTCGGTCATGTTGTCCTCTGACGTCCTCACCAGAGTGGGACCAAACACCAGAGCTAGGTTTCTTGGCTCCATCTGAGAATTAAATTAAAGTCATGTCATGTCTGGCTGAACTCTGAACACAAAAACCTAACTGACCTAACTGACCTACCTTATTCTTGTCAGAGTTATCTGCCACCTTCTTGAGGTGACCCACCAGGAACTTGAGGGTGTGGTAATAGTGATCTGGGAGGTCATGGATCTGGAAAAAGAAGGAAGACATAGAATATTTCAAAATAAAATAGATGGGGAATAGATGACAAAAATATAAATCGTTGCCATTTGACCCATACCAGTTTCTTCATGGTCTTCAGTCTGTCTTCTGCGTCTTCTATTCGGTTGGCATCGATGAAATCAATGTATTTGTCTGTTGGCAGAGAACAAGCAACTTAGTGTCTTTGACTAGAAGTGGATTTTGAAATAAAAATAAATGTTATCTATACCCAGTATGAGGAAATAATCCATTGGCTGCCTTATTCTTATATTAAACAATATACACGTTCTTTAAGATCACTTCACAGTAAACAAAAGAGTGGCCTCACCATCAGTAAACACAGGCTCGGGCAGTTTTCTGAAGAATGATTTAAGCAGGCTGCTGATCACATTCAGGTCCTGCCATCTCTGTGGAT